AACAGAGGTGCTTGGCCCAGCCTGCCTGATCCCCTCCTCATAGAGTTATCTCTTCTACAACTTTGAAGCGATTATAATTTATTTTGTTAAATACTTATTAGGATTTTCTAGACAGCATTATAAAGAAGACAATTCAAGTACTTTTATTGCATAGATAATACACCTTGACCCCTTTAAAATAAAGGGGGTGGGGCCCTCTCTGGTGGCGCAGCAGGTTAAAGCGCAGCACTAAGAGCTAAAGCCACTTTAGCATGAGTTCAATCCCCGCCTGCCCCAGAGGTGACCCACAGGGCGCAGCAGACCTCTTCTGACCTGCCTGCTGCTCCCTTAGCAGTGTGCCTCGACAGTCTGCTTGTTCTGCTCCCCACTCTGTCTCTGGTGAATTCTCTCACCACCCCTGCACCTCTAACCTGTACCCGCAAAGAGCAGCTTAGAAATGAGACCGCAGAGAAGAGCAGGGTCAGGTCTTGGCCCCCAGCTCTGCCGGGGAGGTCTCAGCAGCACCCGCCTCCCACTCTCTGGTGACTGGGGGTACTGAGATCAGAGGTGGGGGCCGTGATGGCCTCCTCCGACACGAGTGACCACAGGCCAGTCAAGGGCACCGATGTTAGCAGGTCAGCCTTTATCATCTCCTGTGGCCCCCACAGTCGCCATTGCAAGTGGGCAGTCTCCAGCGATGCTGGCCAGCACCTGGTTAACCTTGCCCCCCGTGTTTGTGATCCTGGGAGCCAGGGAGGCGGCGGGGCCCACGTCCGGTGTCTGACCTGACCCACTTGGCATAGGAGCTCCTCTCCTCACTTCTGTAGTCATTTCCACTTAAGGTGCTGTCTCCAGGGCCCGGGATTTACAACAAGTTCTGATTTCAGTGGAATTGGGCTGGTTTTAGCTGTTTTTCTCTGATGGAGACTCAACCATGTGGCTTGAGCGAAGACTTGCTTTTTATTACCCGCCCTGTCTGTAAAGTATCTGCTTTATGTGCCAAGGAAAGTATAAACATATGGCGCAGTATTGGTTTTTCAGTAACTGGGTTTAAGCCAGAGGGGGAAGGTCCATCCTGACACTATTTATGAAACAATTACGGCCGGCAGCTGTGTTACCCCTGATGAGTTTCCCCCGCCAGCTACAGTCTGAGGGCTGCGAGGAATGCCGCGATCCTAGCAGTCCTCCATTTGAGAGGACTTATTTCTACAACATATAACACGGGATGATCGACCGCCCTCAGACTGTAGGGTACAAAAGAAACCTTATTCTCCAGGGAGAACGCCCCATAAAGCTGGCGTCCAGATAACATGCCGCCTGACGTGCCCGGTGGTTCACCAAAGCTTCCCACTGACTCCAACAGCCACCAGGTGAGGGGGCTTCACCACGGCTGAGTGAGAGCCGGCCACCCGGATTCTCATGGAGGCTACTCACTGGCTCAGGTCACGGTAGAGACTGACAGGATTTTGCCTTAGTCGAGTAGGGCTGCTATACCAAAATGGTGTCGAGCGAGGACTCCAGCAACAAGTATTTGTTTCTCGTGCTCTGGAAGCTGGAGGTTCACTGTCAGGTTCCGTTGAGGGCCGGCCCCCTGGCTCGTGGACTGCTGCCAGCTCCTAGCTGAGTGCTCACGTGACCGAGATGACGCTGCAGCACCAGTCCCGTGGCGGCGGCTCCACCCTCATTTTCTCCTCCAAACCTTTTTTTTTTTAAAAGATTCATTCATACAGAACTGGGGTACAGGCCAGAGATGCAGAGGGTGAGAGGACTCACCAGAGACAGAGTGGGAGCAGAACAGGCAGATCTATGAAGTCCACTGCTGAGGGGCACAGCAGGCGGTCAGGAGAGGTCTGCTGTGCCATGTGGTCACCTCCGGGGCAGGCGGGAATTGAACTCATGCAGAAGCGGCTTTAGCTTCTCAGTGCCGTGCTTTAACCCGCTGCGCCACCAGGGAGGGCCACCCCCCAAACCTCTTTTACCTCTCAAAGGTCCCATCTCTGAATACCATCACAAGAGGCGGGGCGTGGGTGTTTGGGGGACCCAGCTATTCTTGGGGCTCTTAGGAGAGATGCATTTATAAATCACCCCGAGAGACACAGGTTGAACTTGATAGAAATAAATCAGGTATTTCAAATTTGAATTTTTTAAAAGTCAGATTTTCAAAATCGTTTTTACAAAGGTAGAATAACCTGGAGAATTTTGAAAACTGTTTGATAGTTTCATACCAATTTAAAGCTAATCTATATCCTGTGACCCAGCAAAACCTCTCCGAAGTATGCATATACTCACAAAAGATTTGCCTAAAAGTGTTCATAGCAGCTCTCACCTGGTAACAACCCAAATATATGTAGCAACAGGTGAATGCTAGAGGTCTAGCCATACAGTGGAGTCCTAAACAGTCAGAAAAAGGAATGACCCACATAGATCAACAACTCAGATCAAGTCAAAAATACTATGCTGAGTTAAAGAAGTTCCCCAGAGTAGCTACTGGAAGAGTCTGTTTATAGAAAATCCTATAACGGACAAAACTAATCTATGGAGACAGAAAGCAAGCAATGTTTGCCAGAGGCTGTGGGGAAGGGAGAGTGATTGCCAAGAAGCCGGAGGGAATGTTCTGGGCCAGTGGAAGTGGCTTTTATCTTGATTGTGGTGATTATACAGCCAGATGCATTTGACAAAGCATATGGAACTGTGCACTGTATGTTGGTGCATGTTTGTGGATGCAAATGACACCTCAGTAATGGCTGTTTTAAAGGCAAGGTGGTCAAGGAGTTGAAGAGAGCATAGGGCCGACCTTACCTGCCCCACAGTTTTGTGAGCTCACCAGGTGCGTAAACACAACCTTAACCCCTGAGGCTCAGCTCACCAGACCATACACAGGCATGAAGACTGTCGGGCAGTGCTAGGAGCAATGAGCAGGGTGGATGGGTGGGCATGTAACGTCCCTGTTATGTTCTTTGCCTAGATTTTTATGCCAGCGCAACATTTTTTTTAAAAAAAAAAGATTTATTTAGGGTCCTCCCTGGTGGCGCAATGGTTAGGATGCTGCACTGCAAGCCAGACATAGCCGCTTCAGTGCAAGTTTAATCCCCAGGAGGGTGACCCATATGGCACAGCAGACCTCTCCTGTCTCCACTGTTGCTCCCCTCAGCAGTGTATTTCATCTATCTTCCTGGGGTTCAGGCCAGAGGTGCAGGGGTGGTGAGAGGATTAACCAGAGACAGAGTGGGGAGCAGAACAGGCCAACTGAGGAAGTCCACTGCTGAGGGAGGCCCTATAACATTTTGTACTGAAGCAGAGATGCTTTCTGAATATCCAGGCTATTAGCCCTTGTAGTAATAGCAAGGAGCTTTTCCAGTTGCCTTTCTGCATTCGTAGTCACATTCTGGTGGCACATGGAGGTGCATCTCTCTTTAAGAGGACTAAATTTCCAATTTGATCATGAAAATAAATGCAAATTTTCTGGACTCAATACACAGACAACTCAGTTTAAAAATCTATTTCTTTCATGAAGCCTTCATTGACTGGCTTCTTCTTCAGGAACACTGCACTGTAGGCATCTGCACGAAAGGCCCATAGCTCAGCTCTATGTGCACGCCATCCTCTTCTGTTCCGGAACTTTCCATGTGTTTCCTCTGGTTCTCACTTCCTCTTTCTGTTGTCTTCTAAGGGGCTTAGGTTTCCCATAAACTCCTTCCCAAATCCACTCCCATCTTCATGGCTCCTTTCTCCTAACTTGGGCTTCTTGTCCTCCTAGGGTGAACAGTTGGCTTCTCTTCTCCTCCCTGTCAAGTATCTGTCAAGAGAACACAGAGAGGACCCAGGCTCGGGTTTGGGTCTCGGGTTGAGGCAGGTAGCCAAGTCACAGCTTCTGTGGCTATAAACCACGGTCAGTTTCAGCCTGGCACGCTGGAGTCCAACCCGCAGCCCCTGCAAGACCTGGGCTCCCTGAGCGCCCTCTCTGTTTCATGATCAAGATCTGGAGAAAGAGGTGTCTTTTCCCGCTCGATGTCTCTGCTCTGCTCCCTACCGCCTACTCACTAGCTGGGTAAGTCAAGAGCGGGCTCACTGGTATACTTCTTATGCTGTGCTATGAAAAGTGAAGTTTTCTTGTATTATTTAGTAAGGATACATTTTTGCTATTTTTAAATAATGAAAAACGTGTGAACGGTGCCTTCCCTACAGGCGCTCCATTACTGTAAATCGTAAAATAACACTTTAATGAGTAATATTCCTTCTTCAGCTCATACATCAAATATATGTCATCTTCATTGTTTAATTGACGCTTTATTCCTTCCATTAAGACACCAGCAGAAATAAATCTCACTTTCTCCCCTGTAGATGCAATCTCATTTCGATCACACGTGTCAGTGGAAGCAATAAAACATCAATTAAGCAATGAATTCCTGACAAATACATGGCATTTGGTGTATAGCGCTCCCCCAGCCCCCCCTCACATTTCCCCACAGCCAAGGTTTCCTGGCCAAGGCTGCTGTTCCGGGTTTCACTCTCTCAAATCCAAGGTGAGCTTCCTGCCCTGTCTCCCAGGGCAGGGCACACACCCGCCAGGGAGAGAAGCTGCGCGGACAGGAACCAGAACCCCACATCAGTGGTCTTGTTCCAGATGAGAAACCGGGTCTCGAGAGGAAAGAGCCCTTCAGGGTGTCCCAGACCCCTCCAGGGGCCACCCAGGCTGGAGGCAGGACGGAAGAAACTCACTGGCAACCACACTGACACACCAGCTCGCCCCGAGTTAACAAGAATGGAATCGACAGAATTCCCTGAGGTTGTGGTGGAGAGGGACTCCCGCCCACCCTGGCAGGAATGCAATTCCCTGGGGACAACAGTGGGGGGGGGGGTCAAGAAAATAAAAAATGGAAATTCCAGACAATCTGATGACAAAACATCTCGTAGGTATTCATCCAAACAATGTGGAAGTATTTATCGGTGTTTATGTGCACAGCAGCATCCTCCACCATTGCCAAGTCAGGGAACCCACACCAGTGCCCTTCAAAGGAGGAATGGATACAGAACGTGTGGACTATATCCTCCTGGAGCACTACACAGCTGCGAAGAAAGGTGAGATGGCAACATCGGGGACAAAGCGGATGGACCTTGAGGTGATTATGTTGAGTGAACAAAGCCAAAATGTGAAAGACAGACGTCAGATGGTTTCACTCATCTGTGGGGTAGAAACAACAAGCAAAGAGTAGCGGAGTAAATCTTGAACTCAGTGAGAAAATAGAATAGAATAACAGAGGGGGAGGGAGGGAGGGAAAACATGTCATTCTAGTATATTAGTATCTCACTCTGTTACTGGTCAAATAAAGTATATACATTATATAGAGATATGAAAAAGAAATCCACTTTCCACTCCACTCTTCGATGAATGCAGGGGCAGGGTAGGGCCCTGTGCAGAGAAGGAAGGACGGGGAGAAGGAAGAAGGAGAAAGGAAGGAGGGAGGGAGAGACAGTGGAGAAGGAGGATGCAAAGAAAGAACTTGAAAAAGCGGGGCTGCCTGGGTTTGTAGCTCAGGGAAGAGGTGCTCTGGTGGGCGCAGGGGTGAGCTGAGAAGGCTCTCTCCTCTCTCCAAGCTCCTTGAGTTGGTGGCAGTCTGCAATTTATGGGGGGTCTCCTAGGGACTGGGCGCCACGCAGGCCCTGGAGACAGGGTGACCTGAGTAGGCCCCGTCTCTGGCGCCCTCGGTACAGCTGAGGGGCCAGTGCCAGGAGAGATCAGAGCGCAGGATGCAGGATGTGAGCACAGGAGGGAGAGGGAGTCCTCCCAGCCTGGGGAGGCCAGCGGGGAGGGGAGGCCTCAGTAACACAAAGTGGGAGCTCAATCAAGAGTGCCAGCTCTGACTGCTTCACCCCTCCCCCCGCGCCTGCCGCCTTTGAGGGGGGCACTCCGAGCAGAAGGGAGTTTCTAGGCGGCCTGGCTGGGAGCCGAGTGGCCCGCTCTACTGACCCAAGGCTTGTTAAATGTTTGGGGGGCCCTGCCGCCTTCTCCAAAGTGAAGGTGCCTCCTTTTCCAGGAAAGCCTGTCGCCACTGGACATTGTTGGGGGGGGGGCAGCCTGAAGTGTCATTTAAAGGGATGTTTAACTTCCTCTCCCTGTTTCTGGAGAGCCATTTTCTGAGACATGAAGAATAATGGAGGAACTTGGCTCATTGCGCCAAATTGCTCCAATTTTCCCACAATCTCGGCCCCTGCACCACCTGCCCCCACCTGTGCGTCTGGGCGCTGCACGCTCTGCATTCGGACCTAATAGAGGCTGTTTGTTTGGCCCTGGCCCAAAGGCGAGGCTTGTTTTCAGGACAGAAGCTGCAGGAAAACCCGTCTGGAGGCCTAAGTCACAGCCAGCACTCATTACATAAATGACATATTTACACAATTGATCCCCTTGCTGCTGGGTAATTAATCCGGCATCGGAGATCTTAACGATTTAATTGTCATATGTTTAAACGGAAATGGTTGCCACAAATTTCCAAAGCCAAGGTGCTTTTGTCCTCGGATGAGAGGGTGGGGAACGCCTTGTCTCCACCCAAGCAGAGGGAAGGGGTAACTTTTATTACCCCGGGGGGCACCTGTGGCCCCTGTCTTAGGTGGTCTGGGGGTGACGGGGCTGGTGTGGAGGGAACCTAGATGCAGCAGTGATAGACTGGGGTCCCACGTCCACCACAGGTTAGGACAGTGCTGTTGGTCCAACCAGAGCAGGGGACCCGGCGCCCCACACCCCGCTGAGGCCAGCCCCCATGCCTTGGTAGTCTCTGCTCCCAGCTGCTGCCTGCTGGCCCATCTTGGGGTGCTGGGGCTGCTTTGCCGGAATGACCAGAGAGCGGGCCCCCCAGGGGAACTTGGCCTGAGCTGTGCCAGGCTTGGCTCCCTCCCCTCCCCACCCTGAACAGGCAAGCCGGGCCTCAGGGGTCTGCTTGGGGAGGGGGAGCTGACCAGCAGAGGCTGTCGGCCAGTGGCCTGGCTGGCCTGGTGCACTCTCTGTACCCCAGGCTCATCCCCGGCACACAGACGCAGCTCACCCCAGCTGGTGCCAGGATTGGCATCTGGGAGCCTGTGCCAGGAATTGGCGCTTCACGTGGAGTCTGCTTGGACACTCAGCGGCTCAGGCCGAAACGATTCCTGTGAGCCCCATTTTACAGATGGGGCTATTGAGGCCCACAGCGTCAAGGCCTATGTCCACACTCAGCCCCCTCCCCGGCACCGGTGGAGCTCAGCAGGCGTGAAGTGAGTCACCTTGGCAACTGTGCCCCACGGGGTGACTCGGCGTGGCTGCGGGCACCCAGAGGAAACGGCGCAGTGACGGGTGAGCGGAGCCGGGTGGGTGGGGCAGCAGAGCATCGCGAATCTCAGGGACGTTTCTATGTTTAGCCAGAACACAACTGAATTTCAGCTTTGGAATAATCACTGAAGTGCACTCATGTGGGAACATTCTGCGTATGTTCGAAATCCAGAAACACTTAATCTGGAATAAGGTCCAGGATATTCTGAGTAAGTCACAGTCCACTCAGTCATCGCTTTCCTTAGGTGACTGGTTTCCTCTGTTTAACATATCTGACCCCAGACTTACAGGGATCCCTCTGTGTCAATCAGCTCTTGCCTCCTAACAAGCCAGTGGCTTAAAGTGACAAGCATTTATGTTCCTTTTTATTGTTTTTTTAAAGATTTATGTATTTATGTACACGAGAACTGGGGAACAGGCCAGAGGCGCGGGGTGGGGTGGGGGGTGGTGAGGATGCGCCAGAAACAGAGTGGGGAGCAGAACAGGCAGCTCAACTGAAACACACTGCCGAGGGGAGCCATGGGGAGACAAGAGAGGCCTGCTGCGCCCTGTGGGTCACTCCCTGGCTGGGGTCAAACTCATGCTGCAGTGGCTGTGGACAGCTTCATGGTGCTGAGACTTTAACCACTTGAACCACCAGGGAGGCCCCCACTTATGGTTCCTTATGATTGGGAACTGGCTAATGTAGGCTGAAATTGGTAAAGTGACTTTCGAGCTGAGTGTCCAGCTGGACTGGCTTCCCACCGGGGGCTGGACTCAGGTCTGTTTAGTCTGGGGCCGGGAGGCCAAGCAGAAAGGACATGAGCTACCCCAGGGATATATTCCTTTCACTTTTATGACTTCAAAGGGCAAGGTCCACGGTGCAAGTGGACCTCCTGCAGCACGCAGACGGCCACCCCACTGGCCCAAGCAAATCCAGAGTGAAGACTCACACACTGGTAAATTCAAAGCAAGTCCAAGGTCAAGCTGGAGAGCCACGGGTGGGAAGTGCAACCTTCCCATGTGTGGTTGGCTATCTTGCGCAGCAACTTAATCTATCATCTCTTCAAACAAGATTTTTTTTGTGTGTTCCCCAAATTATTTCTGGATTCTAAGGTATATGTGCTTTTGTATTTTCTGAAATTGCGGTGTGAACTACAGTAAATACGTACATGTATTCTAGCAGTTTTTTTTTTTTTAACCTAAAAACTTGTTAGTAAGTTAACGGTGCATTTTATGATTGGCACCACCTTAGAATCATAGAAATTCAGTAATGAGTGGGCACCCTCCTGGATGTTGCCACCTCGGCACTTCAGTTATTCCTGTGTCTGTGTGGCTACTGAGGGCTGGGGACCCACGGCTCTCCCTTCTCAGTGAGTCTCAAGCCTAACCCACACCGTCTCCCACCCCCGAGGCCAAGTCCCTGGTTCAGGCCCTCATCATCTCACCCTTAAATTATAGCCAGAACCTCCTGCCTGGTCTCCCACCACCAGGCTCACCTGGATGGCAGACTTGCCTTCAGCAACTACAGTTCTGGTCCTGCAATGGGTTCTAACACACCCTCAGGCTCCCTCTTGCCAAAAGAATATCTCAGCTCTGGGCCCTCCCCGGTGGCGCCAGGGGTCAAGTCTCAGTACCATGAAGCTGTCTGCACCCACGGCAGCAGGAGTTCCATCCCGAGCCAGGGACTGACCCACAGGCACGGCAGACCTCTCCTGACCCGCCCGCTGCTCTCCTCAGCAGTGTACTTCGTCGATCTGCCTGTTCTGTCTCTGGTGAAGCCTCTCAACCCCCCCCCCACCTCCTGCCTGTACCCCATCTCTTGTGTACATAAATAAACAAATCTTAACAACAACAAAAACCAAAGAGCAGCTCAGCCCCCAGTCAGTCCTGAGGGCCCATCTGCCTTTACCGCTAACTCACCCCATCGCCCCTATAGACTCTCCCCTGCACCCACAGGTCACCCCACCCTCTACCTACAAGTCTCTGGGTCTCCACACATGCTGTGTGCCCCCACCCTGCCATGCTGACCCTCACCTCCCAGCCAAGCTTGTTGAAATCTTCTTCAGCTTGGAAACTTGTTCTTTTTTTTTTTTTTAAAGATTTATTTATTTGTGCATACAGAACTGGGGTACAGGCCAGAGGCTCAGGGGCAGTGAGAGGCTTCACCAGAGACAGAGTGGGGAGCAGAACAGGCAGATCGACGAAGTACACTGCTGAGGGGAGCAGCGGGCGGTCAGGAGAGGTCTGCCACACCACGTGGTCACCTCCGGGGCAGGTGGGAATCGAACTCATGCGGAAGCGGCTTTAGCTTCTCAGTGCTGTGCTATAACCCGCTGTGCCACCAGGGAGGGCCAGGAAACTTGTTCTTTTTAAATGCAGTCTTTAAAAAAAATTATGTTTAGTGAGGCCATGGCAAATCAATGAAATTTGAGGAAGATAAATAAACGCAAGTCAGAATTCACTGAAGGGGTAAAAGGTGGAGGAGAATTCTGCACAGGCCTGCTTGGACATCCAGCAGGGCCGCTCTGTCATTGAGGTCATCTTGTGACAAACATCAATTAAAAGGAAAGTGGGTCCAGGTGCACCCCCCACCCCTCTGCTAAAACCCTGCCGGGAGAATTCTCTGCATAGGCCCAAGGATGAATTGACAGACATGCTGGGCCAAGAAGCCAGGGCTAGAGAGCGCGCGCACTGGGTGCTGTGCTCACAGGACGGTCATCTTTAACGACAACATGAAATCAGTGCTCTCTTGGGTTAGGGTGGCGGATACTGACCCCAACGGCCAGAGGAGTCTCTGTGCCATGGGCTGCAGTCGCTCCGCTGTACCCATCTGTCAAAGTTCATCTATGTGTACCCTTAAGATGCCTGCCTCTTAAAGCCCCCGACCTCATCTCCCAAACCCTGGCTTTCAGCCCCCGCCACTGTTGCAGCCCTCCACCCATCAGGCCAGGGACTCAGTTCCCACTGGGGCCTGCGGAGTCCTGTGAGCTTGGCAGCTCTCACTGTCTCCACATCCACCTGCTCTCCATGTCTCCTGCCCTGACTTCTGAAGACTACACCTATCTCCTGGTGCTCCTGAACCTCACCTTCCTGCCGCCTCACTTAACCCCTGATTCAGTGGCAGCCCCCACCAGGCCCCTCTGCTCTCCTTTAAGTTGGTGCGCTAACACTGGCCACCCTCACACACTTTCTATTTGACCTCCACTAGAACGGAAGCTCCGCGAGGGCAGCGTGGGCATCCCAAGTGCCCAGAATAGAACCTGGCACATATTAGGCGCTCAGCAAAGCTCTGTGGACCACATCGTGGCAGCCTTCTTGGTAGGAAGCAGGATGTGTTTGGGGGACCCCTGGCCTGTCTCAGTGAAGTGAGACCAGAGTGTCTGTGTCCACGACGGGCCCTGACACACCGCAGGCGCCCACTGGGTCTGGTGCTGTTCACCGGGGGCCGGCCCAGGAGGGAGAGCTCAGGCTGAGACCTTGTACGGCCTTTTCCACCGTGAGATTCCACGACCGGAAGCAAGGGCTGCCTGCCTTGCTGTGCTGGTGCAGTTACTTTGCTGTGTCCGCCGTTTAGCTGACAGTTTAGTGTCTTGTCAAAGGTCACAGCCAACGATCAGCTGGAGCACACCAAGGAGTCAGAAGCAAAGCTCCACACGTCCTGTCCCCTGTGAGAACTCGAAGCTAGAGAGCACTCGGCAGCGAATGCGGCTGGTGGAGTCCTGGCTGCACGGGAAAGATGTGTTTAAAATAACAGAACCAGGAGGGGGAGGGGAGGGCCGTGCTAGTTTGCTCTGGGCGCCTACATTTTCTTTAAGAAGAAAAGGGAGCTGTGCTAGCTTTCTGGGGAACTCCTACGAAAACAGATTTCTGGTCCCCCCTGGGCTCCTCCCCTGGAGGGGATGACAGGACACAGCAAGAGCGGCCCTGGCACCGTGCTTGCTGCCTGCCCTGCGCAACCCTGGCAGCTGGGTGCATCTTCACGCCCCACCTCAAGGTCAGCAGGGGTAGGATCCTCCATCCCCCTCCCACACCCCACCCCCACTGCTTTTTTCAGAGCCTTGGTCCTTAGCCCAAAAGCCAAGTCTGGCAGCTTCCCTGGCAGCCTTGGAAGAGAGGGGAGAGGTGTCTGCAGGAGAGACACGCAGGCCAGGCCGCAGCAGCCGGAACTTGCCCCAGGGTCACTCCAGGCTGGTGTCCCCTCTGCCTCCAGACCGACAGTCTGCAGGTCAGGAGGGTTAGGAGGTAAAATGTGACAGTTGGCACCATGCAGACTCCGTAGGCTGCTTGTGGGGCGCCTGCCTCTGTGCCTGGGGGCCCTCAGCGGCAGGACTAGCCCAGAGCGCCCCTCTGGCTCCCACTTCAACATCCCGGGAGAAGTTCCAAGAGCACCCTTGGAGGAAGCAAAGACTGGGGTTCTCATCCCTGGGGGACTCACTACTCACCACCTGTGTGCACCTGGCGGTGGAGGAGGGAAGGCCGGGGAGAGGTGGGCACTCATCGCTAGCCTGCTCCATCGAGTCCTCTGGCTCCGAGGTCCACTGCGCAGGCAGGCGCCTGCTGTGCACAGGTGGTCACCTGGTCACCTCGGAAAGGCCTGGGAAAGTCCCCTCCAGGGTCCTCCAGGGGCCGAGATCCCCTTAAGTTCTGTAACACGTGGTCGCCAGAGACCTCAGGCTCCCACCAACTTGTTAAAGCTGTCTTGGGGCTGAACAGACTCTCTGCGTGCTTCTTAATCAGCAAAGCAAATTCTCTGCAAGGGAATTGTGAATCGTTCATTCACTTTCCTTCATCCACTGAAGCATGCTGGGGTCACAAGCCTCACTGAGCCCCAGCTGGCTGACTGGCGGGGCCTGGCAGCCGCCCTCGCCCTTCCAGGAGCTCCCCTGGAGACTGCAGTCCAGAAGGGAGCCTCCGGGGTGGGTGACCAGGGGCCCAAAACCAGGATCTGGAAGGGTGGGGGGTGGGGGCGAGGCAGGTGTGACCTCTTCTTTTGGCGGCCAGGTAAAGATCGGCTGAAGTGAGCAGGCGATTTCTCTCTCTGCTTTCTCTGCGAGAAAATGTGCTTTTGTTTTCCAGTGAGGCCGGCGGCTTTTAAACGCTGCGCGGGGGGCTGCGCTCCGCGGAGCCGGCAGGCTCGGTTTGGACGACGCCCCATAGAGGGCGCTGTTTGCCCGACTTTGAATGGAGTCGTGGGCGCCGGCAGAGGCGACACCCTGCGCCAGAGGGCGAGGGAACCCCGCTCTCCGCGCGGCGGCCCCACACAGAAGCCGAAGGGAAGAAAAACTCGCTCTGCACCTCGCGGTGCAAGCCCAGCGTCACTAAAACTCAGGGGCCAGTTGGGGTGCTGACACTGAGAAACTCCTCTCCCTAGTCAAAACGCGCGCACAACACCCCACCGCCTGCGCCCCCCAGAGCGGGAGACAACCGGAGAAACTGAGTCTGGGGAGCGGCTCGGCAGGCTAAAGAGGGGGGCTGTTGCCACTCGTCCCCCCCGAGCCTGTGCACCTTCTAGTCACCTAGCAGGTCAGCCGGAACCAACTTTTCCAAGCAGAACTTTTCGGCAGTCTGCAGGCACTTCTCTTCCCCGAGAAAGGAGAAACTTCAGCTCGTCTCAGTGTGAAGGCGGCTCCGTGCGTCAGCGCTCTGGCAGGTCCGCACGCGCGCTCGGACGGTGGCGCTGCCGCAGCGCGCGCGCTCGGGCGTCGCGGCCTCCCCGCGCAGCCTCGGCGCCGGCCGCGGGGACCTTAGCGGACAGTCGCGTGGAGCTCCCGCTGCGGTTGCAAAGAACAGGACTTCTGGGTGCCCGGCAGCGGTTGGGTGACCGTGGCCCAGTCCCTTCTCTCCGGAGGGAAGCCCGTTCCCAACTCTAAAACCGTGTCTGAGACCCGCCCTGCTGGAGTTTCGGGCTGTCGTTGATGCCAACTCCGGTTTTGGAGGGGATGGCGCTTGTGCTGTCCAGCAACGCCACACACCTTGGGGCGTAATGAGAACTGTTTACGGGCACAACCTTTACCATATTCGGGGGTCCAAAGCAAACAGCGGCGCTCCAGACTGTACTGGAGGTTTGCAGAAAGAAGCTTAAACTTGCCGGTGGAGATTTTGTGGTGTGGGTCTGAAGCCCCGGGGTGGGGGGGGGGAACTTCCCAGAGGGGTCCGAGGCGGTCCCATTTGCCTACAGGGCGACCTGTGTTGGGTAAGGATTGGCCGAGCCTGGCTAGAAGGGCTGCCAGGGGGGGAGCGCCGGGGCCACACAGAGGCCAGGGCGGGTGCTCATGTGGGTGGCGGGAGTCAGGGTGCCTTCGCCACCTTTGACCAGGGAGCCGTTTCTTGGAAAGGGACGTCAAAAGGAAGTCTTCTTTATTTAATGTTTAAAGGGCTTCTCGAGCGACTTGGGGAGTCGTTCATAAAGCCAAGGGAGTCAAGTCCCTTTCGCCAGCTGTCCCTCGAGGCCTACCAGGGTGGCCGCCATCGGGACGTGCTGCGGCCACTAACACCCGGCCGCGGATAGGGTGCCACTGTGCCTTCGGCTCGCATCGCCCCTATGCAGCGCGAGGCCGGGCCAAACACCGGTCGGAGAGCCTTGGCGAGGCAAGCGCTGACTGCGATCAGGGCCCGAGTTGATGGGCAAGCTTAGGTCGGGGCGGCCAGAGGAGGAGAGGAGTGCACTTTGGGGCGCATGGTCGCCGCAGCCCCAGCGCGCCTCCGAGGGACACGCGGGCAGCAGCGGTTCTGCGCGCACACGGGGGTGCTCGGAGACGTGCACCTACTTTTTTCTGCAGGGGAAGGCTCACTCTTCGGTTTCCCAGGGCTAAAGGCCAAGGCCACTTGGATACCTGAGCCGGCGGACGCAGTGCAAGGACTGGCGCCCCCACCCCCATTCCCTTCCCATAGACCAGACCGTAGGTGGGGCGCCCAGACCCCCCTCTGCGCGGTCGCACCCTTGGCGGCAGGCTTTGGGGGAAATGCTGAGGCCGCCGAACCTGAAAGGGTAGGAAAGTGCCGAGTGCGCCGCGGGTCGGAGGTCGCGTCCTGCCTCCTGGGCCGGCGCTGCCGGCCCCTCCAGCTGCGTGGGGGCGGCGGACCCCTCCGCGCCCCAGGGGGCGGGGGAGCGGCAGCTGCGAGCGCGGATAACCCCTGGGTGACCCGGGCGGGCCCGGCCCGCCCCTTTCCCCTCCCGCAGGCCAAACGGCTGGAAGCGGGTCCCGGAGCCGCAGGGGGGAGAGGGAAGCGCGGGCTGGGGCGCCCGGCTGTCAGTGCGCTCCGGCCGGGGGCGCCGCCCGCTCCGCGTCCCTCGCTCGCCTCCTGCGCTCGCCAAAGCGCTCCGAGTGCCTCTTTAGCGGGAGCCAATATCCTTTTGTGCTAATAGGCTTGTCCTCATTTGCTGCCTAATTGGACTATATAAAGCCAATAACAGGCGGGCTCTTACAGCCCGAAGCCAAAGCGCCAAAATCCGAGGGAAGGCAAGGAGGGGGCGGTGGCGGAGGCGACTGCGGGGCCCGGGCTCGGCTGCGCCTTCGCCTGCCTAATCCCATTTGCCATTGTACGCGCCCAATCGCCGTATACTCCCCGCATTTAACTTGGATGACATTTTGATTTCATCATTAGCATCCGGCGCCGGATTGACGCAGCCCCGAGCCGGGGACTGCTCTTGCCGCCTCCTCCCCGGGAGCTGCAGCCGCCGCCGAGCCGCCCAGCTCCGTGGGTTCCGCGGCAGGGCCGCTCCCCGCCCCTCTGCACCCCTCCCCCATGCGAGCCCGCCCCGGCCGGGTCCTCACCCCGCCCTCCCGCCGCTGGATTTGCGCCTCGGGCGGCCCCCGACTTTGCGCCCCGTAGTTGAGTTCCGTTTATGGTCTGATTTCCGGCCGCCCGCTCGCTCGCCCGGCCGCCCGCCTGTCCCGCGCCCTCCCTCCCGGGGACCCGGAGGAGTGGGGACCATGCCGGAGCCCGGGCCGGACGCCCCCGGCACCGCCAGCGCGCAGCCCCCGCCGCCGCCGCCGCCGCTGCAGCCAAGGGGGCCCTGGAGGGCGCCGCGGGCTTCGCGCTCTCGCAGGTGGGCGACCTGGCTTTCCCCCGCTTTGAGATCCCGGCGCAGAGGTTTGCCCTGCCCGCACACTACCTGGAACGCTCCCCGGCCTGGTGGTACCCCTACACCCTGACCCCCGCCGGCGGCCACCTCCCGCGACCTGAAGGTACCGACCCCTTTGAACTTTCCTTGTCCTCCCCGCGCGCCGGCCCCACCCCACCCCCGTGCTGCCCACGGCAGGAGGGACCCGAGCCCGCCCGTCCGCTGTCTGGCCAACTTCCTCCTCCGGCCCCGGGCTGGCATCTCCTGCCCCCGAGCCCGGCTGTGCTGCGCGGGCGTCCAGTCCCACTTGGTGAGAAAAAAAGTGGAGTTGGAGCCTCGGGAGCCGCCTGCCCGGGGAAAGGGCCCTCGGCCGCACTAGGGAGGATTCGGGCGCCCGGGACCGGGGTGCGGCGTGGCTAGAGGGAGCCCCCGGGCGGGCCCAAGCCGACGGCGGCCCCTGGCGAGGAAGCAGAGCAGAGAACCGCAGCGGCGGTTGCGGCGCCGTCCGGGTCCCTTGCCCGCCCTCGGGAGGAGGGGACCCGGACGCGGAGCCCCGACTCGGGCCCAGCGTGAAGGAGGGGGCCCGCGGGAACCGGAGGCCTGGAGGGCTGGGACCGGGAGGCGAGAGGCGCGCGCCGGCCGAGCCCGCGGCCCCCGGGCCGGGCCTCGCTGAAGGCTGTGTCCGTGTGCCTGTGTGTGCGTCCGTCCGTCTGTCTGTCTCTCCCCAGCCTCGGAGAAGGCCCTCCTTCGAGACTCCTCCCCGGCCTCTGGCACCGATCGCGACTCCCCGGAGCCGCTGCTCAAGGCCGAGCCCGACCACAAGGAGCTGGACTCCAAGAGCCCGGACGAGATCATTCTGGAAGAGAGCGACTCGGAGGAAGGCAAGAAGGAAGGCGACGCGGCGCCCGGCGCGGCCGGGGCGAGTGTGGGGGCCGTGGCGGTGGCGCCGGGCGCCGAGGACTGGAAGAAGGGCGCCGACAGCCCCGAGAAGAAGCCCGCGTGCCGCAAGAAGAAGACGCGCACGGTCTTCTCGCGCAGCCAGGTCTTCCAGCTCGAGTCCACCTTCGACATGAAGCGCTACCTGAGCAGCTCGGAGCGCGCCGGCCTGGCCGCGTCGCTGCACCTCACCGAGACGCAGGTCAAGATCTGGTTCCAGAACCGCCGCAACAAGTGGAAGCGGCAGCTGGCGGCCGAGCTGGAGGCGGCCAACCTGAGCCACGCCGCCGCGCAGCGCATCGTGCGGGTGCCCATCCTCTACCACGAGAACTCGGCGGCCGAGGGCGCGGCGGCCGCGGCCGCGGGGGCTCCGGTGCCCGTCAGCCAGCCGCTGCTCACCTTCCCGCACCCGGTCTACTACTCGCACCCGGTGGTGTCGTCCGTGCCGCTGCTCAGGCCCGTCTGAGACCCGCGAGGGGGGGGGGGAGCCCGGCCCCTTCCCAGACCCCGGAGGAGCCAGGGCCGGGCCGAGGGCGCCTCGCGGTCCAGCGGCCTTCGGGAATGGGGCTTCGGCGCGCAGCCCCGGCCTCTCCTCCCCCAGTGGGTAGCGTTTTGTAAGTATTTGCAATGCATTTTCGTGCAATTCACCCCTAACGGATTTGAGGCGCTTCCCTCTTACTTTTGGTTTGGGTTTATATTAAGAGAGAGCAGGAAAAAAAAAAAAAAAACAACTCCCCAGGTCAAATAATTTCGGCTGAGAGCTTTTGTAAAACGTGCAACCTTCCTCCATATTTGCATTGAGCAGTGGCTTTTTTATTTTATTTTTATAGGGAAAGTAAGCGCAAAACTGGAACCCCTCTAATTTATTAATTTTCCACAGAACTATTTTCAGAAGTCCAGAGGGAGAGAAATCACATAGCAGTACTCTTATTTCTGGATTTCTGGGTGTGGTTCTTCTCCACCTCCAATCAGTTCTCCACCCCCATCAGTTAGCCTCCCCAGTTTTCAAGAATCTGAGAGCCTCTCAAGAACCGGATTCAGGCCGCTTTTTTCTCCCACAGAGGTCTATGGAGGTTGACCTCTTCGTCTGTCCCCCTTTGTGACTGAGGAATTCTTACTTGTTTAAAGGGGAAAGACAAGGCAGCCGAAAACCAGAGTTCTGGTGACTGTAACAGCTCTACTCTGGCCTACGTGAATGGTCTTATTTATTAGTAGCATTTATTTGGGGAATTTCATTTGTTGGTAAATTATTATTACTACTACTATGACTCTGTTCCCCGACTTGAACGAGCAATTTCAGTATTTTTTTGAACCCTCCAGCTTTTCTCTCTGCCCCTCTTTTTTACTCTGCAGTAACAGTTATAATTTGACCTGTGCAATATTGTACAAAATGTCCTGAGAGCCTTGCTTCTTCACGGGGAGAAGCTGCGGTTTTCACTGTTTGATCCTGGTCATTAGTCTAGGAGGAGAAAAATCAAGAAGGGGGAAAGAGGAAGGAGGAAAGCCCAGATAGGTAGCTATGCTCAGAGGAGTAAGATAGGCATACTGGAGCGCTTTAAGTGAAGGACAATCAATTTAGGAGAATTTTAACTTATTTGATAAATGTACAGATTTCTTGTAAAGTTCACCCTTAACTCCGCGGGGCTCCCGGCTCTGCCACCTGGTCTGTTTTCTTTCTGTGAGCTACACCTGTTGTTCTGCGAGAGTTTGTTTCCCCCTCACTCCCTCACTTCTGCCCTGGTTCGGTTCCTTTTTAAGAAAAAGAAAAAACACACAAAATATTGTTACACTGAATGGTGTCGTGAAATTGAATTAATTAAAAAGAAAAGAAAAACCGAGCGTTTCTGTTGCCATTGTGTAACTTGGGACGGTCTTCCCAGAGCAGGTGTCTCCCAAACTCTTTCTGCCTCGCTCTCCGGCTGCCTCTAGCCAAGCCGACCTGGACGCACATCCCTGTGACCCAGAAGGCGGCGAGACAGAGGCGGCTTTGTTCGCGACCGGGGCGGCTCTCCTCCCAGTATCTTCCGCGGCTTGCAACGCCTGGCGAGCAGGGAAGAATGCGGGTCGGAAGCGGAGAGGACCTAGGCTTATCTGCTTTGCGAAATTGAGCGAAGCGACCGCCCCCGGCTCAGGGCAGCTGTTTTCTACCGCGCAAGGCTGCGTCCTCGCGCTGGATCTCAGGCTTCGCTGCTGGGCTGGGCGTCCCCCGACAGCGGTCTGCGCGTCTGGAGCGCGGTGGCTCCGGTAGCGTCCGGGGTGGGGGAGGGTGTGGGGGGGGAAGGGATTCGTTTTAGACTTTGGCTTCAGCCAATCGTGAAATTCAACTGGGTTGGGAGAGGTGAGAGGGAAGCCCCCCGGGGGGTTGCCGGGCCCCAGGGACGGCGGCTCCCCGCTGCGGAGAGGGGGGCTTCCGCCTGGCTGGGGGCGCTCTCCCTTGGCTGGTGTGTGGCGCGGTCCTGGTGTGTCAGGAAACAGGTCACTGACTTTGGCAGCGGCACCCGAGGGGATCCATCGGCCCGCCGCGGGGCTCTTTTCTGCCCACCGGCGCCCTAAAACGTCAAAGGCGACTTCTCCCTGGCCCTGCCCGAGTCCAGGCCGACACCCGGAGGGCCGCGCTAGGGATGTGACGCCCGTGCACCGGCTGGTGCTGGGCGACTCGGGTGGCGCCCACCCGCAGGAGAGGTTCGCCTGCGGGGTTCGCCCCTGGCGGAAGCAGGTGCTTGGGTACCCCTGGCAGCCGGGCACTTGGGTCAGAGCGTCTTCGCGTTTGATTCTGGGAAGCCGGAGGAGGGAGATGAGGAACCCAGAGGCCTTGAAGACTTCGAAGAGCACAGTGCGGGGAGCGTCCGCTGGGGACGCGCTCTCGCTTCCTCTCGTTGGGCTCCGCTAGTTCCTCAGACCCTATGGACACAATCGATTCCACTGTGGCTGAAACGTCGAATATCGTTTTCTATCAATGGGAAACTTCCCCCCAAACAAACCGCCATGCTTATCTGTGGCAAAATTTTAGTCTCAGTGAAGACAGATTTCCCTTCATTTTCCTCGGGGTTGAAATGAAAACGGGGGCATGTGTCATAAGTGAAAAATAAACAGAAAATCGGGGTCAAAATATGTCGTTCCTTGTGTTACCTGCAAACACCGTGATGCCTTTTACTGTTGGCAATACTAACTGTGAGGCGGGCCAATAACAGCTCATTAAAAATAATGTTGCAATAGCAAACACGTCCTTAGATTTTACGGCCAGAACACGATGTTATCAAACTCCAAGAAAATACTTCTTTATTTGTGTTTGGATTCTAGAAAACGGTTCTCGACTGACCCAGTCTTTACAAAGTCGAGAAATAACTGGTTCCCTGTAGACATAGTTTATCCTTTGTCCTACTCCCCACTGCCTCCACTTGGTCCTACTGGGGTGCCCTGATGCCTGGGGTCAGTGCATGCCTCCCAGGAGTCATAGCACATGGGGTGGGGGGAGACTGGGGCAGTGGCACAGAAGTCGCCTGGGACGGGAGGAGCTGTGAGTCTAGAAGCGGAAAACGCCCACTGTCCTCTAATTGGGTGGGTTCTTGGTATTTCTCAGGGCAAGGGATGGAGTTGAGTCAGGGCGCTGGACTCGGAGCACAGAGGCGCCTCCTGTGAAGGAACCTTCGTGAGCACAACTGCAGGTCTCTCTGTGGCCTGAGAGCCAGGAGAGAGTAAGAAAGTGTGTGGTGAGACCCTCACATCCCAGAAGCAGGCTGGAGTCATCTTTGACCATAGAGGACCCCCGCCCCCCAGGGGTTGTGGGTGGCTGCTGGAGCCACTCACCACAGGGGGCGATCTGGGGGAGTGGAGGTGGTTCTGGGAAACCTGAAAAGAGGGCAATCTGTATCTCCTACTCTCAGACACTCAACTGACACCCAATTTTGTCCTTTCATGCTCTTCTTCCAGATGGTGCACCCCACTCTTCTCCCTCCAACTTCAGGCCCATCCCTAGCTGTACCCTCAATTAATCTTCAAGTCAGTGCACATGACATCAGCTTCTTGGCTATTTTCTTTCTGCACCACCGGGACAGACACGCCCGCAAACAGCACACCGGCTACACACTTGAGCTAGGTCCCTACACGGCTCACCCAGGGACTCCTAGAGCCTCATCTGTGTGTTCAGCATCCTAGTGATGTTAATGCACAGCCAGACACACTCGCTGGGGGAGACCCTGATGCAGGCTCTCACTGACAGCCCCAGACTGAGGCAAGCTAGGAAGAATCCGTGGAAGAGATGGGCCGTGAGGGAGATGGCGCTACACCTCTGAGACAGAACCTGAAATCCTCGCAAGGATCCTCGAGTTTCTTCCTCACAAGCTACCTGGAACAAACTGGTGGAGCCTGCCGACCCCCCAATGCGGACCCCAAACTCATCCGCTAGGACTTCACTCTGAGCTGGGATCTCAGATGTGCGCTCTGAGTGCCAGCGAGCCCTGAGGCCCTGGGAGAGCTCCGAGCCGCGCCGCGAGCTGTTTCATTTGGCAACACAGATGTATTTCTTTTATTTGGTAGTAAATAGAGCAGGTGTGTGTACCCCAAACAACACCAAGACAGATAAAAACTGCCCCCCCCGCCACTGGGCGCTTATTCTGAGCCACGGCGCCCCGCTCCAAGGCTCCTGGCTCCCCAGAGCCAGAGGCCAAGCCCCCAGAACTGGGCGCTGGAGGGCAGAGCTGGGAGACAGGAGGCGAGCAGGTTGGTGGAATTGGCTTTCTCTCCTCCCGAGTCAAGGTGGTCCTGCCAGGGTCTGAACAACATGGGGGAGGGGGTGAGCAAAGGGGGCCCAGAGGGCCACCTGGCCCTGGGCCTTATGGATCTTTGGGGAGGTCTCACGCGTGGGGTGTCTGGGCCTGGGCCACTGCTGCTACTTCTGCTTTTCTGTGCACGGGGCACTAGATTTCCCTGGCAACGCCCTTTGAGGCTGGCAACTTTTTGGGTGTGGCCTCACCTGCCTCCCAGACTCTGTTTTGCTCCACCTCTCTCTGGTATCCCGTGTGTGACCCAGTGACTCCATCAGGACACCTCTCCTGGTGATCCCCAACTTAGCCTTTGATAGCCAGCTAAAAATAGACCCCTCTTGGGGTGGAGTGGGGAATGGGATCAAAAACGGTGGGGGGAGGGAAATGCATTGGACTTGGTGATGGCTCATGGGAGATTTTGGTGATGGGAAACCCAAGGGGATTGCAACTGAGGCGGGAAAATGCACAAAAACATGTAAAAATAAACTATTATAAAATTTTTTTTAAAAAAGACCCCTCTTGGGTCATCACTACAGGGTCAAGATAAAAGAACCATGAGTCCCATAGAAACCCCCGTCTGGGGTCCACAGTAAAGCGGGCAGGGTCAGAGGATACAGCCCTCTCCATCATTACAAGTGACCCCCAGCAGCTGTCTGCGAGATTCCACCTCTGGTCTTCCTGCCCACTCTGTGCCCGATACCCT